ACGCCAGTGGCGTGGGGCCGTCGCCGATTGTCGCGCAATTGTCGTCGTTCGCGGGCAGCGCTGGGGGTGGAGGCCGGCTCGGCGGCGCGGGGCCTTGGGCGGCGGGCGGCGACGCGGCGCCGATGCCGGCGGGCCGACGCACGGGGACGCGCGTGCGGTGGCCCCTCCAGCAGCGGCGGCGGCGGGGCGGGCGGGGGCGGCGGCAGGGGACTGGGCGGGCGGGCGTTGGCACTCCGGCTCGGGGCGGGGAGCGTCTCCCTTGGGCGAGGCGGCTCTGCGGGAGTGGTGGCGGCTGCTCCTTGAACGGTCGTCTGGAGGATTGGGCGTCGGCGACGGGGGGAGTGGGGTAAAGGGGGGTCGGGCGCGCGTGCCCTGGGCTCGGTGGCTGGCCGGGCTGAAGGGCGACGCGGGCGCTCCCTCTTCCTATGAAGGCTCGCGCAAGGCAAGACACTTTGCCGGAGAGGGTGGCGGGGCGCCTTGTCAAGTGGCGGCAGAGGGCGCCAGATGTGCGGTGCAAGGCGGGTGATGGGTGTAGAAGGAGTGGGGCGTAGGTGGGCAACGGAGGGGGACGGCGTGGGCCGGGGGTGGGCGACGTTGGAGGGAGCGACGGCAAAAGGCGACGAAGGAGGAAGGCGCGAGAGCGAGGGGACTGCGAAGGGCGAGGCCGGGGTGTCCGGTGGGGAGTGGGCTGCGCGCCGGTGGAGGGGCGACGGTGATGGCGGGGCGATGGTTGCGGGCGATGGGTAGGCGTGGGCGTGGGTTTGTGGGTGCGGCGCGCGCTGCGGACTTCGGCGTGGTCCGCTCTGGTTCGGGTGGTGAGGCGTCTCGCCATCGCTCGTCTCATCGCGTCGTCGCGGGGGCACCGACTGTATCCATTGCCGGGTAGACGTCTGTGGGCGTTGGTCTCAAGTGTCGTGTCGTCTGCAGCTGCGTGCTGGCATGGCGGTTGTCGGGCTTGAGGTCGATGATGAGGCCCTCTACAGCCTGCGCGGTCTCGTCCTTCTGGACCAGGGGCTGGCCGCCTACGCTCTGCTCCGGCTCGGCTCCGGTCCGCCTCCGGTCCGGTCCGGCTCGGCTTCGCTCGTCGCTCCGGTCCGCCTGGATCCTCGGGGAGAATGGGGGCGGCGGCGGCGGCGACTCTCGGCTAAGCTCTCTCGCAGTCGCCTCCGCCTTTCGGCGTGGGCCGTGATCGAGGGGCGGTGTGGGCATGGTGTGAGCGTGCAGCGGCTCGGTGACAGTAAGCGGGCTCGCGAAGTGTCGAGAAGCCCGCGAAGAGACCCGCCATAAGGACTTCAACGCGTCTCCGTCTCTCCCTGCACATAGCGGGAAAGACGGTCCTTGTAGCCGGCACGCCGCCTTCCAACATTGGAACAATTTAGAATAAAAAGAACACTGACAACATGCGTCTTGTAATATTTGTCAAGGATAATCAATTTAACTGGACGAAATTCAATATATTTTGCTCGAAAGATGGTCTAGACCCCCCTCCGCCGCCCGCTTGTAGGAGGGGGGGGGCTTCGATCGTGATAAAAGCAAAAAAAGGATGACGGGGGAGAGGAGCGGAGAAAACGGAGGTTCTCAGAAATTTTGTTGATTGGTAGTTGTTATTGCTTTATTTTATTCAAGAGCTAATTGAATGTGGAATGAAAATAATTTATAGAATCGAAATGTCTTATATTATGAATTTGAAAAACTAGTTTCTTAATATAAGAATTTGGCGGTGAAATTAGACTATTATCATTAGAAGTATAATCCAACTTGTGATACTTTTGTTTGATCGAGATATGACGGGGGGGGGGGGGGGGGGTGCAAAAATAGAATGTAATCATTCTCAATATATTCGATAAAAATTCCAAGCCTAGGCTTAAAAAAATACTTATGAAGCATTTATTATTAAAGATGAAGGAACGTACCGATTTCATTAGCCATATTAATTCTACGATCGGCTTTTTAAGGTATCAATGTTGGGATGGTAAATATGACACGAAAGCGTCAAACCGAATATTTCGATTAAACCGAAATAAATGTTTACGAGGGAATATAATTAGAAATCATGAAGTATCATTCTCTTAAAGTGTACCTGTGCGAAAAATTTGGGAATTATCTGTTAATATGTTTCAAGAAGTACCATGGACCCCCAGGACTGCAACATTTTTTTTTTATTAAAAAGTAGCGTAGTACCCAAGATTCCTGGAAGTTTCATACGTTTTAAGTGAATTAAATGTTACAAATCTATTTTTTGTGATACGGAATCTTTCAATATTTATTCCTTTCAATGACAAGATCCTGGAGGGGTCTGTGTAGAATAAAATTTGAATTTTTGAACTGTTTTTGTTTGTTTGTTGGTTTTTTTAAACATTTATTTGTATGTCATTAAATATATGTTGCTCTGCAGGATGGTCAATCTTCTGAACATTTATTACTTTCTCGGTTTTTCAGCATTGTAAGTTTTTTTTTTTTCTGCTAATAGATTGCAGAGTGTTACATTTTCACACACTAAATTTTAAAAGGAAGATTATTAAAGAACTCTTGGAATCTATGTCTGCTTCTATGTGCTGGCAAGTAATAATTAAACAAAGTAACATAGAAAGAGAAAACAAATGCTGCGATTATTTCTTTTAAGGATAATAAGGCCAATCCGTTTTCAAAATTTTTCTCCCAAGACATTAATTATCTTCCACAAATTTAATCTGATTTTTCATAGAGCAATGAACTCCCTATTTTTCCCTTTTTCCCATGATTTCCGATAAGACTACACTGCAAATTTATAAGTGATCAGTGATGCTGAAAGCTATTCTCAAGCCGGTTTCCAAAAAGAAGGCCAAGTTTGATGTTTTGGAAGGATTTGTCCTTTGTAGGAAGGATGTTTTAAAACTCTTCTGATCTCTCTTAGTTCTTTTATAACGAACTCTGTATGTGTGCTCAATGATTCAAGTTTTTAATTTTAATTAATTTCATTCACAGTATATTAATGAATATTCAATTATTACGTTGTACTTTTTGTTTTGTTTTTTTTTAAAAACCAAGGTAAGGTTGTCAAGGGATCACAGCAGCATAAGAATGGAAATTGGTGATTTGAAAAGGAATCCATTTAAGCATGGAAGGAAAAATGTAATTGGAAAGCCTATTTAATAGTTTCTGAATAAAACGTATGTTTAAAAAAACAAAATTCTTTTCCAACAATTTAGGAATGCCTGTTATACTTGATGTGAGCAGTTCATTTTTTCCTTTTCCTTAGAACTGAAATTCATGACAATTGAATGTCATAACTTTGATTACACATATTTTAATTATTCATACATTTCCAATTCCACCATCTTCTTTGCGCAACGTTTATAACTGACATTCAAAGATTTGTAAAAAAAAACCAAATTTTCTTTTTTCAATATGGTTTTATTTAATTCATTTACTTTGCTTTAATAAGCCATTAATATAATATGAAATGGCTTTAAATATATGGCAGTGCATTCATCAGCCGAAGAGGAAAATGATATGACTTTAAGTCACTGTTGTTCAACACTTTCAATATGCAAATACCCGAATTAGGTTATGTAAATAAAAAATAAAATATTAAATACACTCGTTTTCAAAATTGAAGAGTATATAAAATTTTTACGAATTTAAACAATTTTTTTTTTTATGGGTGTTCATCCGTGATTAAGAAGAAAAAAAATGTAAATTAACATTACTTACTACTGTCAACTTTTTGGCTCTTTGACAAATTATTATTTCTTTGCAGCATTTTTTGTTCTATTAAAGACCATCTTTTCGCGCATAACAAGACATTTTAGAAATTTAATCTAGTCTCATGATGGGAAATGGTAGAACAGCTCATGGGTTAGTGAGATTACACTCTTGTTTCCTTTAGCACTGATTAAAAGAAAATGAATGGATCGCTTTACCAATTTCTAACAATGATATTATTTTAATTGATAATTAAACAAATGATTGTGTAATGTTGGAATTCTCAGATGATTTTTGTGCTTCTACAAATTAAATTACCGGTATAGAAATTGGTAGTCAATGGTTGAACATCTGCGCCAGAAAAGCTAGAAGAGAGAAAGGTGGGGGCGGGTACTTGCGGAGATGACGGGCGCGCGTTGTCGGTTGGGCTGTGTCCTTGGGCGCGTGGCGCGCGTCAACGCGCTAGCCTTTCGGGGGCCTTGGGCGCGCGGCCGGCCCTCGGCTGGCGGGCACATAGCGCTCCGCGAGATGCTTTTTCCAAAAAATTTCCCGCCGTCTGTGGATGTTTTGATGTCTATGTCGGCCGAAGCCGGGATGAACTTGTCGGCTTCTTCTTCTTGTCGGCCGCCTTGAGCGGGGCAGCTTGGGATGCATGGTGTCGGGTCAGCAAGGTGTGGGTGGCGGCGTGCGTAGGGGTTTTGGGCGCGGGCGAGGTGCTGGGCCCACGGGCGGTCGTGTCTGCCCCCTATGCGAATCGGCATGTACAGACTTGGGCAGCGAGGCGTGGGCGCGTAGGTGCGGGCGACGGGGGCGGACGGGCGGAGGGCGGCGGCGGGGCGGGGGAGCAGGAGGGGGCGGGGGAGGGGTGGTGGTGGAGCGCGGGGCGGCGCAAAGGGGGCGGGCGATTTCAACACAAGCACGCGGCCGCTCGGCCTGCCCCGGCCTCTTCGGCGGCACGGACCCGGCGCCGGCGGCCGAAGCCCAGCGTAGCAACGGGCAACGGGAAGGCCCTGCGGCTCGTCGGCACAGAAGCGCCGCATTGGGCCGACGCTCCGGTGGTGACTTGGGCACCTTTGTCGTGGTGGTGGTGTGGTGATGCTCGCGTCCGTTGTTTCTTTCTTCCTCGGACTTCTTTGGTTTTTTTTTTTTCTTCTTCTCTTTTTTTCTTCGCCAGTGCCCGCGGTGCCGTCGCTATGGCCCCCTCGGGTCTCTCGTCGCCGTCGGTGGAAGCGGAGGAGCGTGCCGTCGGTGTTGGTTGCCGTTGGCGTGCTTGGGCGGCGGGCTTGGCGC